GCAAACATTGCTGGGATGAAGGAGTGTCTGAATCTGTCCGTGTGAATTCGTGGAAGATCATACTCATGGTACTTACGAAGATTTAGATTGGGGCCATGTCTTGGCGGTAAAAGACTGAAGAGTTTGTGCGAGGGTACTGAGATTCTTTCAAACTGGTTATCGCAGAGTTCCTGACGTCTGTTATGTAAGGTGGTTAAACCGCCAATTGGCCCATATTGACCCTAATGGCCTCATTGACCCTAATAATAACCTGCTGTTCTATCTCACTGAGATAGAACAACAAACAATGAAAATATGCATTAAATTGGATAATGCACGAACTCCTCGCTCGGTCATTATTTTTAACACAGGCCTGTTCGCAGGCTAATGCATTATCCTATATATAGGCACAGAATAAAGACATACAGAAGTGTAACTTCCATTACAAAACCGTAAGGCGCTTTTTTACCGAAATAGCTGGCGGCCATGTTCTTAGCAAGTGAGAGGCATTCACCCCCCTGGAATATTAAATTTTCAAAATGTTTTCAGGGGGTGACTGCCTCTCTTTAGAGCACTTGCTAAGAACATGGCGGACTGAAAAAAAACCCTTACGCGAAATTAACCTGAAGTGAGATCTCTGTATGTACTTCCTCTGTGATATAGGCCTGATCGCAGATTATGGCGATCACGACTTTTGAGTGATGATATTTATAAATTTTCATTTACTTCGCGCCAAAGTGTAATTTACCGTGCGACATTGTATGCTGCTTCACAGCCATTAAATATACTAAAATTTCGGAAAATATTTAATACATACGAGCTGGGTCGTTGTAGGATTGCTATAGGGTCGTTGTAGGTGGTTGTAGCGTCGTTGTAGGTGGTTGTAGCGTCGTTGTAGATCGTTGTAGCGTCGTTGTAGGTGGTTGTAGGTGGTTGTAGATCGTTGTAGCATCGTTGTAGGTGGTTGTAGGTGGTTGTAGGTGGTTGTAGGTCGTTGTAGGTGGTTGTAGGTGGTTGTAGGTCGTTCCTTACTTTAGTACCTACGCAGCGAGTACATTTCTTTCGGTTAGGAGTTTTCCCCGAGATTAATTCGTACATTCTATAAAACGAAACTTCATATAACAGTTTAAGGTAAACAAACCAATGAAAGTTATGTCTGTAGTATGACTAATTCTGAATTTTCTAATTTCTTTGAGACATTTTATTTACAGGAGGTAAACAAAGCGAACAGAGCGAAGTTCGTATGTCACAATCAAGACTGATGCCGTCATGGCATTGAGGCGCGCAGAATTTGAACACACACTGGCATTGAATGACTATCCTTGAAGCCAAACTGTACAGTCAAACAATTTCATTCGAGTGCAAAACCAAAGAATAATGATGAAAGACATATATTTACATAATCAAGCTTCATTCAGTGTAGTGTAAGGTGGTTTTATTTGTTAATATCAACAATTAGGTTTACCGATAAAGTATGCTCGATTTCGACACATTTTCAAATTTTACAAAGTTTGCGCGCTTGTCATTTTTGTCAAATGGTAGATCAGAAAGATATTATTGGCGATTTGTGTTGACTAATGTTAGTAGTTTATAGAAAAGTTAAAGTCATGTGCCAACCAAGTGCCACGATTTTGAAATAAGCTTTCGAAGTTGACATATTTTGAGACGATATCCTTTATCCGTTCGGGAGGGTCAATAACTGCGCTGTTTTCTATTTTATACCAAAGAATAATGATCTAAGTTGTATCACCGACGAGAATAGAAGTATAAGTCTATATTTCTGAGCAAAAATTTTGAAATTTAGGTATGAATTTGATTTAAAAAATAGCGCTGAAAATATGTCGATATTTGGCCTTCATTCGGAGTATCAAGTTGGTTACCAGTCGATCGAACATTAATCGCCCCCCAAAATAATTTAAAGGAAATTTGAGTAAAATGACATCGATTTTAGTTGTTCCCAAGGATAGATCTTCAAAATACTAGAGTATGAGAGAAATCTATTTTTGAGCCCCATACTGACCTGGAGGTTTTTACGGAGACAGCCTCTTAAGTTCGTGTTAGCCGCATTAATTATGTTCTCGTAATTTTGCTGACCAGGTCTAGGTAATTCTCCCAGTCCGGAGGTCGATCTAGAGACAGTTTCTTCCGAAAATTCCGCTTCGGTTTAGTTTGTTTACTTTTGAAGTTTTTGCGACTACGGACTGCAGGGCCTTTTTTAAGGATTTTCCTGTGGGGGGGCATTTTTTGAAAAGGGACCTTTATGTGAGATAATATATTAGAGGGGGATAGCAATGGCTGAAAGCCACGTGTGTGGAAAATATACCACGCATGAATGGGGGTCTGGGGGTATACTCCCCAGAAAATTTTTGAAATTTGACTCCCGGAAATGTCATTTCCTGCGTTCTGAGCATCCAAATTTGCTCCAAAATTTATCCTAACTATACTTGTATTTGAAATAAATAAAGGAAGAAACGCACAAAAAGTAAAAAAAATTAACCATCATTTATCATTACTTATTAGAGGAGGATAGCGATGGTCAGGTGTGTGGGGGTGTACTCCCCAGAAAATGTTTGAAATTTGAACCACGGAAATGCCATTTCCTGCATTCTGAGCATCCAAATTTGCTCTAAAATTTATGCTAACTATAGTTGTATTTGAAATAAAAGATGGAAAAATACACAAAAAATAAAAAAGAATATTAACTGTAATTTATCATTACTTATTAGAGGGATAATCCCAAGAAAATTTTTGAAATTTGAAACCGTGAAATGCTATTTCCTGCATTCTGAGCATCCAAAAAATAAAAAAAAATATTAACAATAATTTATCATGGCTTAGTGGTAAAAAAGTAACAATTTAAATCGATTTTGTTAAACAAGAATAAAGGATAAAGCCTAAAACTTACTTTCCGTTTATCTATTTGTTAATCTTCGCTGGATTGTTTGTATAATTTTAGGAAAAAGGGACTTTTCCTGGGGGGGCAAAATGTGATTTCGTGGGGGGGGGGAGGCACAAGGGGGGACTGGGGGGGGCAAATGCCCCCCCAGCTTGTATGTTAAAAAAGGCCCTGACGGACTGTATTCCTTGATAAATGCTGGTTTCTCTTGTTTGTATTGAAAGTATTTAATTCTGTTGTTTGGGGGTTTGTAGGGACAGGTTTCATCCGATTGTGTGATCTATTGGGAAACGCAAGAGACTGTTTCTCTCGGTATTT